AAAAAAAAAAAAAAAAAAAAAGTGGCCATCTCAAAACCTAGTGGCCAATGCACTGAATATTAGTGTGCTCAGACCCCTCACAGAGCCAAGCCGGGTTATGCTTGCAGCCCACTTAACCTGCTGCGACCAGCCTCCACCATGAGCCCTGTCCCTGACAGAGCTGGCCTTCAACCAAGCGTGCAGGAAAGAACCTTTGAACAGATGAATCTGATTTACACTACTAACAGATCACTTCAATCGATCATTTTCAATAGACTGAGTGCCATGTGAAGAATTCGTGTGGGCGGAGGGAACAAGAAGGATGTTCTGGTTGTTTCTAGCCATAGCGCAAAGAATAAATATGAGTCCTTAGGTTATTAAAACAAATAATCCTTAACTTTGAAAGAGTAACTTGATTTAAGAGTCACTGTAATACATGCTTATGCAAAAAATTAAAACAGAAAAATGTAAGAAAATGAAGATCAATCTTCAGAGCACTGCCTGCCAATATTTCCCCTCTCTCCTTTCCAGACTTTGCAAAGAATAAAGTGAGAGTCAGGAAGCGTTTTCTGTAAAATGCAGGTGGTAAATATCATCGTCCTGGTGGGCCAGGTGGTCTCTGCTGCAACTTTTCAGCTCTGCCACCGTAGCTCACAAACAATCGCGGACAATACGCCAAAAAGTGGGTATGACCACGTGCCAATAAACTTGATCTCTGCTCTCTGACATTTCATTTGATTTTTACCTATCACAAAAAAAATAGATGAATTTTTTCAGCTATTAAAACCGTAAGACTGGGGACTTCCCTGGTGGCGCAGTGGTTAAGAATCCGCCTGCCAATACAGGGGACACGGGTTCGAGCCCTGGTCCGGGAAGATCCCACATGCCACGGAGCAACTAAGCCTGTGCGCCGTAACTACTGAAGCCCATGCGCCTAGAGCCCACGAGCCACAACTACTGAAGCCTGCACGCCTAGAGCCCGTGCTCCGCAACAAGAGAAGCCACCGCAATGAGAAGCCCACGCACGGCAACGAAGAGTAGCCCCCACTCACCCCAACTAGAGAAAGCCCGTGTGCAGCAATGAAGACCCAACGCAGCCAAAAAAACAACAAAGAAAGTAAGACCATTCTCCACTCAAGGGCCATGTGAACTAGCTGAAGGGCCCCTGTGGCCTGTGGGCCAGAGTTTGCAGATCACTTGTAAACAATGAATAACATCTTGTTTTATGACTAAGTTTTTTCCCCAGAATACACCATAGACATCACTTAATAGTTACATAATACTCCACATATAAAAATGCCACAGTCTAACAAATTTCACTTTGAGAACCTTTTAGATTGCTTCAAATTTTTACAGAGGGGCAAGCTTAAACTCATCTTTGTCAACCTGTCCTTTCACTGAATACAATTCTCAAAGTAGAATTTTCTGGGTAAACGGCTACGCCTTCCCAGTGATTCTTCAGGCTGTGTGCACCCCACAGATGACCATTCCCAACTGCTGAGTTCGAACATCCCTTTCTCAGGCCACCCTTCCAAACACAGAATGTAGGAAAGCTCTTTGCAAACTGCACAGGCAAAAACTCAGTGTTATTTAAGCTGCACTTATTAGATTCCTGGTAAGATTAAACTCTTGCTGTACATTCACTGACTGTTGGTATTTTTCTTCTCTTGTGAATCACCAATTTCTGCTCTGACTCCATGTTTTTCTATTGGGCGGTTTATTTTCCTGAAATGGAACCATCTAGCCAGTTTTTCCAACTCCACTGATGACTCAAGTCATTCCTTCCCATCAATGTTAAATGAATCGCTATATGATTTCACAGAACTATTCTGGCACCAAAACTACACCGTATTACTCACTATAAGCTTCTGATTTCTATATTTTTGGCTTTGAAAGAACAAGTTGCCACCTCAGCCTGCCCCGTGTCCACCTGACCACTTTTCCTTTTTAGAATATTACTGGTTATTCTCATATAAATGTTAGCCCTCCAGATGAACTTGAAGGTAAAGCGGTCAAGCTCCTTTCCTACAATCATCTCCGGACCTCTTACTATGTTCACATTGCACGCGTGAACCGGGAACATCCATCTCCACGGTGACGAGTCTTTCTATCCAAAATCACAGCCTTCTCTCCCTTTCCAAGAGTCCACCGCTTCTCGACAGCTCTGGGCCTTCCTTCCCAAAGGTCCCGTCTGCTTTATAAACAGACGCCTGAGCAGTCCACTGGTTAGGACTCCACGCTTTCACTGCCTAGGGCCCAGGTTCAATCCCTGGTCGGGGAACTCAGATCCCACAAGCCGCGTGGCACGGCATGCCTGCCTGCATGAAGGAACAAAGAAAGAAAGAAACACCTGGGGTCCCAGATTTTTGTCTCCAGTTTGCATCACATTTTCCTACTATGTTTCCTGCTTGGCTATTGTGGCTGTACGAGGAAGATGCTGATCTTTGTATAATTCTGCACGGGGCCTCCTTCCCGAACACGCTTCTTAACCGTAAAAGCTTTTCCGCCCGCTCCACCTTCTGAGCAGATGAGCGAATATTCCTCCTGCCCCGTGAGCCTGTCAGCTGCACTCGCTGTAGTTCACGGAAAGCTGTCTGGGAACAGCCTCCTAGGGCCTCCTCATCCTTCTTGTTTTAATGGGGTCGCCTCCATACTTTACCTTTGAGGAATACGCTGGTGGCTGACCCATGATGGGATTTACCGTGTTAAGGAAACACCCCTTATACTAAGAGTTATTGAGACAGGATGCTACATTTTGAATGCCTTGTTAGCATCTGCCACAATGACTGGTTTCTTCTCTGATCTAGTAATATGATTTAATCTACTATCGGATTTACTAATACCAAACCGTCCTCCTGCCTCTGGTATTAACTATTGCTGGTGATTATATTTTCCCTATACTGGTAGATGCTATTTGCTCTTATTTTACTTAGATTTTTTGCATCTGCATTTGTGAACAAAACTGACCCGTGGCTTTCTTTATTCGTGCATCCATCAGCTGAAAAGCTGTATCACAGCAGCTGAGGACATAGGTTCTAGAACTAACTTGCTTGGATCCAAGCTCAGCTTTGCCACAAACGAGCTATAGATTGCAGGCAGGATACCCCACCTCCTCGAGTATAAAATGGAGATGAGGGGCTTCCCTGGTGGCGCAGTGCTTAAGAGTCCGCCTGCTGATGCAGGGGATGCGGGTTCGTGCCCCGGTCCGGGAAGATCCCACATACCGCGGAGCGGCTGGGCCCGTGAGCCATGGCCGCTGTGCTCCGCAACGGGAAAGGCCACAACAGTGAGAGGCCCGCGTACAGCAAAAAAAAAAAAAAAGAAAGAAAGAAAAGCTTCTGTTTCCTTATTAATTTTCTGTTTGGGTGATCTGTTCATTGGCGTAAGTGAGGTGTTAAAGTCCCCCACTATTATTACGTTACTGTCAATTTCCTCTTTTAGAGCTGTTAACAGTTGCCTTATGTATTGAGGTGCTCCTATGTTGGGTGCATATATATTTACAATTGTTATATCTTCTTGGATTGATCCCTTGATCATTATGTAGTGTCCTTCCTTGTCTCTTGTAACATTCTTTATTTTAAAGTCTGTTTTATCTGATATGAGTATTGCTACTCCAGCTTTCTTTTGATTTCCATTTGCATGGAATATCTTTTTCCATCCCCTCACTCTCAGTCCGTATGTGTCCCTAGGTCTGAAGTGGATCTTCTTGTAGACAGCACATATACGGGTCTTGTTTTTGTATCCATTCAGCGAGCCTGTGTCTTTTGGTTGGAGCATTTAATCCATTGATGTTTACGGTAATTATCGATATGTATGTTCCTATTACCATTTTCTTAATTGTTCTGGGTTTGTTTTTGTAGATTCTTTTCTTCTCTTGTGTTTCCCACTTAGAGAAGTTCTTTAGCGTTTGTTGTAGAGCTGGTTTGGTGGTGCTGAATTCTCTTAGCTTTTGCTTGTCTGTAATGCTTTTGATTTCTTCATTGAATATGAATAAGAGCCTTGCCGGGTAGAGTAATCTTGGTTGCAGGTTCTTCCCTTTCATCACTTTAAGTATACCATGCCTCTCCCTTCTGGCTTGTAGAGTTTCTGCTGAGAAATCAGCTGTTAACCTTATGGGAGTTCCCTTGTATGTTATTTGTTGTTTTTCCCTGCCTGCTTTCAATAATTTTTCTTTGTCTTTAATTTTTGCCAATTTGATTACTATGTGTCTTGGCATCTTTCTCCTTGGGTTTATCCTGTATGGGACTCTCTGCGCTTCCTGGACTTGGGTGGCTATTTCCTTTCCTATGTTAGGGAAGTTTTTTACTACAATCTCTTCAAATACTTTCTCAGGTCCTTTCTCTCTCTCTTTTCCTTCTGGGACCCCTATGATAATGCAAATGTTGTTGCGTTTAATGTTGTCCCAGAGGTCTTTTAGGCTGTCTTCATTTCTTTTCATTCTTTCGTCTTTACTCTGTTCTGCGGCAGTGAATTCCACCATTCTGTCTTCCAGGTCATTTTTCAGTTCTTCTGCCTCAGTTGTTCTGCTATTGATTCCTTCTAGTGTGTTTTTCATTTCAGTTATTGTATTGTTCATCTCTGTTTGTTTGTGCTTTAATTCTTCTAGGTCTTTGTTAAACATTTCTTGCATCTTCTCAATCTTTGCCTCCGTTCTTTTTCCGAGGTCCTGGATCATCTTCACTATCATTATTCTGAATTCTTTTTCTGGAAGGTTGCCTATCTCCACTTCATTTAGTTGTTTTTCTGGGTTTTATCTTGTTCCTTCATCTGGTACATAGCCCTCTGCCTTTTCATCTTGTCTGTCTTTCTGTGAATGTGGTTTCTGTTCCACAGGCTGCAGGACGGTAGTTCTTCTTGCTTCTGCTATCTGCCCTCTGGTGGATGAGGCTATCTAAGAGTCGTGTGCAAGTTTCCCTGATGGGAGGGACTCGATCATGACCATCTTTATTAAGAACTGTGTTACAGTTAATTTTCGGTACAACTGTGGCCCATCAGTTGTCGTTTACCTGATACTAACATTGCCTCTTGTGCTCTTCTGCATCTGTTCATCTTCCTGACCTGAGCTACAGAGGAATCAAACCTACAGGCCACCCCCTGGATCCACCCGACTCCAGTGTCACCTTGGCAGGTCACCTCACCTCTCTGAACCTCTGTTTTCTCACCTGTAAAATGGGCGAACAATAGCTCCTCCCTAGTGAGGGGACTGTGAGAGCGCTGAGACCAGTGCCTGGCACAAAGCAAAACTCACAAGGGCAGAACCGGTATCCAGGGACGCTGCACTGCATCTGTGCACAGCACTCAAGTTTTAAAACAAAAGTTATCCATTAAAAACAGGGCATATCTTGGGACTTCCCTGGCGGTCCAGTGGTTAGGGCTTTGCCTTGCAATGCAGGGTGTACAGGTTCGTTCCCTGGTCAGGGAGCTAAGATCCCACATGCCTCGTGGCCACAAAACTAATACATAAAACAAAAGCAGTATATTGTAACAAATTCAATAAGGACTTTAAAAATGGTCCCCATCAAAAAAAAATTCTTACAAAAAAAAACAAAACGGGTTCGATCCCTGGTCAGGGAACTAAGATCCTGCATGCTGCTTGGCACGGCCAAAGAAAAAACAAAAATGAAAACAAAAAACATTAAAAACAAACAAACAACAACAAAAAAAAAACAGGGCATATCTTGAGCTAATGCCACAAGGATTTCCACCAGCCCTGGAAACCAGGGGTGCCCTCTCAGGGTGGAACGCTCCCTCCAACAGAAAAGAGTCCCACTAAGGTCCTCCTGGGGCCTGGGCTATGTCTCTGATGGGGCCGTCACGTGCAAGCCAGAATGTGCCCAGAGGCCCAGAGAGGCAGTGGAAACACCACGAGCTTCTGATCCTACAGGGACCCCATCCATCCCAGAGCACCTCCCAGGGCCTGGCATGTCCCCTTTGATGAAGGAGGATGTCAAAGGTCAGAGACACCCAGTCATTTGCCCTAAGTAGTTCTGCTTTACCAAACCCTAGGACTGGGAGCTTAAAGGTTTATTTCCCACTTGGTGGAGCAATGAGATCTCACTTGGCTACCATCCCCCACATTCTCTACTCCTGCGCAATACAGGAAACCGCTGCTGCCCCAGGCGCTTCTGCTGGACACTTGTCCCATCTGTCTGTGGGAGGAGCCCCCCACACCATGACAGGCACGACCTGCTCCCACGATGGGTCCTCCCTACCCACTGGGCAAACGGCCTTGGACCTGCATTTAGGGACCCCAGAAGCCCTCAGGATGAAAACCCCAGCTTGGGGTCTCACCTTGTAATGAGCCAGCTGGAGGGACAGCTGCACGAAGGCGTCCGGGCTGGTTCTGCATTTCTTGATCAGCCCTTTACCGAAAGCACTGAACAGAAAAGTACAGAAATCCACGTCGCTGGCCAGGAGGTTCGCGCTGCTCAGGGAAGTCTCTATGACTTCCTGACACTTGGGAAAAAAAGGAGAAAAGCTTTCACTTAATAGGAGGGAAAATACTGACACATACTCTGAAGAAAACAGCAAGCTGGCTTTCAGCTTGTTGCTTGGAAATACACACATCACTTTTTCTTCTTGGTTTTCCCCAACCTTTCTAACCTAAGAGCTGCAATGAGTTAGCAATGTGGCAACCCCCCTGCCCTTGAAGAGCAGTGGGGTGGCCCAAGCAGGAGGAACTCCTGGTTCCCAGTGGGACCCCAAAGGGCATTTCAAAGTGTCACAGGTTCTGTTTCGTGAGATCCATTCTCGTTATATGCTGGCCACTGAGGAGCTAGTTTTAAAAAGGAAATGGACTGGGACTTGCCTGGTGTTCCAGTGGTTAAGACTCCGCACTTTCACTGCAGGCGGCATGGGTCTGATCCCTGGCTGGGGAACTAAGATCCTGCAAGCCTCAACAAAGATCCCATGTGCCGCAACTAAGACCCAGTGCAGCCAAATAAATAAATATTTAAAAAAAAAAAAAAAAGCTCCTGCACGCCATGCGGTGTGGCCAAAAAACTAGAAAAATAAAGTAAAAAGGAAAGGGACTGTGGTCGAGTCGTACAATGGGAATGAGCCCTCAACCGTGAAGTCACACGGAGGAATCTTAAATGACTACCACTAAGTGAAAGAAGCCGATCTGAAATGGCTACACACTGTACGATTCCAGTTATGAAATTCGGGGAAAGGCAAAATGATGGAGACAGTGAAAAGCCCACTAGTTGCCAGGAGTGAGGCAGGAGAGAGGGATGAATAGACTGAGGAAAGGTTTTTTAGGGCAGTGACACTGCTCTGTATGATACTATGATGTAATTACACCTTTGTCCATACCACAGATGCACAACACCAAGAGTGAACCCTGGGGAGTTTCCTGGTGGCCTAGTGGCTAGGATTCTGGGCTGTCACTGCCAGGGCCTGGGTTCAGTCCCTGGTCGAGGAACTGAGATCCTGCAAAGCCACACGGCATGGACAGAGGGAAAAAAAATAGTGAGCCTTGACATGAACTACGGCCTCTAGTGATGCTGACTTGTCAGTGCAGCTTCTTTGACTGTAACAGACGCACCAAGTGGCAGGGGACGTTGGTAGCAGGGGAGGCTGTGATGTGTGAGGGCAGAGAGAGAGCGGGGACTCTCTGAACCTTCCACTCAACTTTGCTGTGAACCTGAAACTGCTTTAAATAATAAAGTCCATCAAAAAAATTTTTTTTGAATAAACGGTAAGTGACTTAGTTAGCTAAAAGGACCCTCAACCACACACTTCAGCAGAGGTTACATCTCTCCGAGGAACACACACCAGCCCCAGGGAGGCAGGCTGGACAAAAAAAGTGCAGATGGGCAAGACTGCAGGACTAGATGCAATATTTTCCACATCAGAATGACTTCTTGGGGGCTTCCCTGGTGGCGCAGTGGTTGAGAGTCCACCTGCCAATGCAGGGGACACGGGTTCGTGCCCCAGTCCGGGAAGATCCCATGTGCCACAGAGCAGCTGGGCCTGTGAACCATGGCCGCTGAGCCTGCGCATCCGGAGCCTGTGCTCCGCAACGGGAGAGGCCACAACAGTGAGAGGCCCGCGTAACCCCAAAAAAAAAAAAAAAAAAAAAAAAAAAAAAGACTTCTTGGGGCTTCCCTGGCGGTCTGGTGGTTAAGACTCCGTGCTCCCACTGCAGGGGGCGCGGGTTCAATCCCTGGTTGGGGAATCAAGATCCCGCATGCTGCACGGCACGGCCAAAAAAAGAAAAAAAAAGAAAAACACTTCACAGGCCCCAGGAATTCCTGCTTGGCTTGGGTAAGCTAGGATTTGGCATTTCCAACCCTTAAATTCCTTCTGGAAATGGCTTCCACTGAGTGAACTGCATTGGAGAACACTTAGAGGGAGAAAAATGACAAATTAGTGATTTAGAGTATTCCAACTCCAAAGGAAGTGATTTTGATTTTCACTTTTTCATTGTGATGTCTAGCTAAGTTTGAGCTGGAAATTTCACTGACAATCTTAGCCAAATGCTTTAAATGAAAGAAGAACTATTTACTGGGGCTTCCCAGGCAACTGGAGCTGTAGCAACTCCAAGGTCCAGTAAGAAACCCACAGGCAGACAGATTTCCGTTTCGGGGGGTCTTCAACTGACCTCGTGAACACTTAGGAAGGACACAGCTGGAAAAGTCGGCTGTTAGTTTAAACTCGTTTCCCACCCAAGGTAATTAACAAGTGCCTGATCACTGGGACTTACTTCCTGCGGGATGTCCCACTGTAGCCGGGTGGGGTATGGGATGTTTGAGTTGGTGTCCCCTTTACAGTGTCCATCCTCTGCATAACCCAGCTGGAAGCTGTCCGTGGCCAGTACGTACTGTCGAAAATAAAAAGATACATCTGTGAAGGCAGAGATCATCACAGCTAATAGCATTACATAAAAGTTATCTGACCTCCCAAAGTAGACAAACCCTCGTTCTTTCTAGAGATAACATCAAGACTTAACCATAGGGCTTCCCTGGTGGCGCAGTGGTTGAGAGTCCGCCTGCCGATGCAGGGGACACGGGTTCGTGCCCCGGTCCGGGAAGATCCCACGTGCTGTGGAGCGGCTGGGCCCATGAGCCATGGCCGCTGAGCCTGTGCGTCCAGCACCTGTGCTCCGCAATGGGAGAGGCCACAACGGTGAGAGGCCCGCATACCGCAAAAAAAAAAAAAAAAAAAAAAAGTAAAACGAATCCAGATGTCCACTGAGTGATGAATAAACAAAATGTGGTCTAATCATACGAAGGAATACTATTCAGCCATAAAAAGGAATGAAATACCATTAACAGTACAATGTAGATGAACCTTGAAAACATTAGCCAGACACAAGGCCACGTACTGTGTGATTCCGTTTCTATGAAATGGCCAGAATAGTCAAACTGACAGAGACAGAAAGGAGATTAGTGGTTACCCAGGGCTGCTGCAAGAGGGGGCTGAGGGTGGGGAGTTTCCTTAGGGGGGGTGATAAAAATGTCCTGGAATTAGTGGTGATGGATAGACAACCACCTTGTAATGTACAAAACCCACTGAACTGTATGCTTTAAGAGGGTGAATTTCATGGTATATGAATTACATCTAATAAAATAACAAAAATATTTTTAAAAAAGGCATCTCTGCACTCTGGGAGCTTACATTCCAGTGGGGGAAGTAAAACAAACAAACAAACAAACAAAAAACAACTCAAGAGACTTCCCTGGTGGTCCAGTGGGTGCTCCCAATGCAGGGGGCCCCGGTTTGATCCCTGGTGGGGGAACTAGATCCCGCATGCATGCCGCAACTAAGAAGTCCACATGCTGCAACGAAGCTCCCGCGTGCTGCAACTAAGACCCAGCGCAGCCAAAATAAATAATAAAATTTAAAATATTTTTTAAAAATTTTAAAAAACAACCCAAGGTCAGATGGTGATACTGTCAAATGGTGTGGGGGGCAGGGGGGTTCCAGGATGGGGGAGTGTGGAGCGGGGCCACATGCATGTGCGGTCGGCATCCTGCAGAGCTGGGCAGGTGAGGGAGCCCAGCCTATCTGTGTCTGCACTGTGTCAGAGCCCCGAAAGAGTCCAACACAATTAAACATCAGGAACATACCAACAGCCAACAGGATTCAGCTTGGACCAGATTTGTTTTTAACTGGCATGGGTGGCGTCCTTGTACCAGCCCCTTAACTGGCTCTGGCGTGGGCCTCCACGACAAGACAATGGGTCAGTTCCCATCCGTGCGGGGAGCAACTGGGCTCCTGTCTGACCCCTGGAGTCACAGGCCATTCTGTCTATTGGGCAGTTAACAGTTAAACACCACCACTTCCAACTGGTCACCTCGGTCTGAGACTAAATCCCTTTACCTTATCTTAGCCAGAGTACTGAAAAAATAAGCCTGGCCTTGTCAGCATCCAGTAGATTTCTCTGTTTGGTACGTGTACCCTACGTAGTCCAGACTGCCTAGGATTCAGTGTCTTTTCCCGTTTACCAAAGAACAGCTCTTATGCACTTATTACTGGGAGAGTACTTGGAACAGGGTGTAACAGACCTAGATCATTATCCTGTGCAAACAGACTTAAAAGCTCTTGTTGTGGTGTCCAGTGGTGCCGAAGGGGGTTTGATCTTTGCTTGATTTTCAGCTGAAAGGATCTCTAAGCCTTTGTCGGCAGAAGCAAAGACCAGGGTGGTGATGAGCCTTTTCGATACCTGGCTGTTCTTATCACGGATAAATGTCTTAGGACCACGCTGTTGTTGTCTCAGACTGGAGCATCTTTTCTCCCTTTTTAAAAGGTTTCCCCACATAGAAAACCTCCCCTGGTTGAAGGAACGGCAGGTTAGGTTTTGCTGAGACCCTAACCACAGGAAAGACAGTCAAGTAAAGTGGAAAAGACCCAGCAGGAGCTCCCCTGTGGATCACAAGTGCACTACACGACCTGATTTCAGGGACAAGACCCGGGGGGCTCTACGCCCTGGGCAGGACAGTGAGGTGATCGGCCTGCGGTCACGGGGGTGTGTCTCCCGCGTGGGCAGTGACAGTGAGTCATTGTGTTCCCCTCCATTTATTAGAGCAGAGACAACATAAGGAATGCAGAAATACTGTGCTCACTGTGACTCTCAAGGGGGCTTTTATCTCTTCAACAAAGTCACCTCAAATCTGGTCAAATGGGATGACACACAATTTGAGTCGAGTCCACTGTTTTGTTGTTGTTATTGTTGTTATATTTATTTATTTTTAAAGACAGCCAATTTATTTGAATGTTTATTTATTTATTTATTTAGGCTGCGTGGGTCTTCTTAGTTGTGGCATGCAGGATCTTTAGTTGCGGCGTGTGGGATCTAGTTCCCCGACCAGGGATCGAATCTGGGTCCCCTGCATTGGGAGCGCGGAGTCTTAGCCACTGGACCACCAGGGAAGTCCCTTGTTGTTGGTTTTTTTTTTTTTAATTGAAGCACAGGTGATTTACAATATTATGTCAGTTTCAGGTGTACAGCAAAGTGATTCCATCTTACGTATGTATTTTCAGATTATAGGTTATTTCAAGATATTGAATATAGTTCTCTGTGTTATACAGTAAATCCTTGTTGTTTAATCTATTCGACTGGCCAAAAAGTTTGTTCGGGTTCCCCCGTAGGACGTTACAGAAAAGCCCGAACGAACTTTTTGGCCAACCCAATATTTTATGCATAGTAGTTTGTTAAACCCATACTCCTCAATTTACCACTCCCTTTTCCCCTCTGGTAACCATAAGTTTGTTTTCCATGTCTGTGAGTCTGTTTCTGTTCTTTGTTTTTATTTTTTTTGGCTGCACCATGTGGCTTGCAAGATCTTAGTTCCCTGACCAGGAACTGAACCCGGGCCCTCAGCAGTGAGAGCACAGAGTCCTAACCACTGGAGCGCCAGGGAATTCCCTGTTTCTGTTTTGTATATAGATTCATGTGTATTATTTTTTAGATTCCACATATAAGTGATATCGTATAGTACTTGTCTTTCTCTGTCAAGTCCACTGCTGACAGGCCTAGAATTTAGCAATTTCCTTACAAAAGAACCTGACGGGCGAATTCAGAAAACAAAAGCTTCACTCAACTTTTCCTGCCAAACATGACACAGGTCAAACAGCTCAGAGAGAAATGAATTTTAAAACAGTTTAAAAGGTGGCAGGGCCAATACACACTGTATTTTATTTAATTATTTATTTATTTATTTATTTTTTGCTGCTGTACACGGGCCTCTCACTGTTGTGGCCTCTCCCGTTGCGGAGCACAGGCTCCGGACGCGCAGGCTCAGCAGCCATGGCTCACGGGCCCAGCCTCCCCACGGCATGCGGGATCCTCCCGGACCGGGGCACGAACCCGTGTCCCCTGCATCGGCAGGCAGACTCCCAACCACTGCACCACCAGGGAAGCCCCGCACTGTATTTTAAAGTGTTAGGTGGGGGACTTCCCTGTGGTCCAGTGGTTAAGACTCCACGCTTCCACTGCAGGGGGCACGGATTCGATCCCTGGTCAGGGAACTAAGATCCCACATGCCGCACGGCACAGCCAAAAGAATAAAAATAAAATAGGTGGAGGGAGAGGATGACAGGGATTTGGTGGGTTTTCTTAGAACTTGGTAATTCTAAGAATTAAGTGAAGTGGTAGAAGGCACACTGCATTTTTATAAACCAAGATTTTTAATATCCTTGCTTTTATTTGGCCTAACGCTTGGCAGATAGGAAAATCTAGAAAACACAGCAAAGAAGGGGTGGTTTATTTCAAAATAACTAAGCTTCAGTTCCACCCTGATGTCACTGCGTTGGAGCCGAGGCCATCTCACTATTTTGGCTCCAGCACGACATGACATTAAATGTTTCCATTTAAGGAACCTCAGCCGTAGGGAACGAAGACAGGAATGACTTCTGTTACTGATTTAACTTTACATTCGGTGCCGACACCTGCTGAAAACACTTATTATACCCAGACAGATACTATGAAGTTAAATTCAGAAATTCCAACAGCAATTTCCACACTCAGGTTAAACCTGCAGATGCTCACCTCCCAAAGGTGACCGATGATGGGGGCGTCGGCCCAGGAGTGCTCCGCGTTTATGCCCATCTTGCCGTTTTTGAAGATGACAAATGTGATCGATTTATCAAACCACCTACACGAAGCAAAAATGTTTATGTGACTTACATGTTTACAAAGACAAAAATAAACCCAAACGATGTATTTGTTTTCCTCTGGATGCGCTTGCTGACTTGGCACCCGCAGGGGTGAACGGGTCTCCGCAGGTGACAATAAAAGCACGTAAGACCCTAAGTCGTTCATTTCTCCCCTGCTCCCGACGCAGAGATATGCATTCAGGTACTGGACAGCAGGAGAACAGGGCGTATCATTGTAACAAAAAAGGATGCACAAGGCAACTGTGGAGAAATAGGAGACTGCAAAGTCGTCCCTCGGTACCTGCCGGGGGGTTGGTTATAGGACCTGCTGCCGATACCAAAAACCTGAGGATGCTCCAGCCCCACACAGTTGGCCCTCTGTATCCGCAGGCTCCACAACCGAGGCTCTTAAACAACGGTCCACGGTCTGTAGTTGGCTGAACCTGCGGATACGGAAGACCAACTGTGCCTGCCGCACCTCTCCCCCACCCCAGCCAATCCTCACCCCCAACCTGATGGGCAGGCAGGACCTCACTTTACAGACAAGGCAAAGGAGCCTCCAAGAGGTAGAAGAGCCTCACCACAATCACACGCTCGGTGAGCAAAGCCAGAGCCGACATCCAGGTCGGGCCCCGGGTACCACCTTCCCCCACCTGGTTCCAGGTGACCCACAGCCACTCCTCACAAGCAGCTCCAAATAGAGGTGTCGTGCACAGAGAGGGGAAGGACCTCAAAGCTGCTGCTTAAGCTGCGTGTGTGTAACAGTTTTGGTGGAAAGAAGAGCGTTACCAGTCATATTTTCACGCTAGCCTTATTCCTTAAGAGCGTAGATACATACTTGCGGCTGGGTGTCAGCCACATGTAACATCTCTTCCAAGTCCACAGGCAAACCATTGTGTTTCAGAAGGTAAGCGTGATACCTGTCGAAACACCTGCCGTGCAGCAGAGACTTGGCGTAGCTATCCATCGACGTAACCGGGTCTTCCTCCCTATACCCTTGTTCCGTTTCGTCCAATGTCACGAAGAACGCGGCTCTTTCCACTGCATCCAGAGACTGCTTGTTCTTCCCATGTCCAAAATAGGCCTGGCGACACCTGGCCCAGGGGACTCTGCAGTGAGGATTAAATACAATTAAACCTGCAGCAGGAGCAACTAAGCCCGTTCACCACAACTACTGAGCCTGCGCTCTAGGGCCCACGTGCCACAACTACTGAGCCCATGAGTCGCAACTACTGAAGCCCACGTGCCACAACTACAGAAGCCCACGTGCCTAGAGCCCGCGCACCGCAACAAAGAGCAGGCCCCGCTCGCCGCAACTAGAGAAAGTCCTTGCGCAGCAACGAAGACCCATCGCAGCCAAATATGAAAAGAAATAAATGAAAAAGAAACATATAAAAAAACCTGCAGCAGTTTGGTGACATCTCTTTAAGTGGGATGTTTGAAACGACAACGGTTTTCACTTTCCCGTGTTGTAGGGGTTTAAGGAAAACTACACATTTGCGACTTTCTGCATCTGCAGTCCCCCACCTGCCTGCCGGCTGGGCTGCTTTGTTTGCGGGCAGGGGCCTCGCCTTCTCCTTGTATCTGCTCCAGGGCAGTCGCAGGCATGGAACCACGTCGGTAAATGCCGAGTGAAGGACAAGAATCCAGACGGGCCCCAAGCTCCGCCGTCCAGGGCAGCGGACCCACAGGCAGGCAGGGCCCCCCTCACATCCTTCCCAGCCCCGCGCCCAGACCCCCTCCATGGCACCACCCCACGGAAGCCACAGCGAGTGCCAAGAGCACTTCCCTGGTGCTGGGACGAGCTCACGGACCCCGACACCACTGTCCCATTTTTCAGATGAAGAAACTGAGGCACAGAGATGAAATCACAGCTCCTTCGTGGCAGGTTGGGTTCCTACCCAGGCCAGCCTGCCCCAGGTGCACGCGTCCATGCTACAAACACCACACAACACCCCTGTGAGAAGGGGCGCCCCGGGAGCGGAATTCAGGGATCCTTTTCCGTCCCGCCCTACGTGGGGTACACAGTGCTAACGGGACGCCCGCTTCTTGAGAGCCACGCCAGCCGTGGCTTCCCCGGATGGCTCCTGGGCCCCCTCACTCAGGCCCCTGCCCACCCTTCCACGCCAGGCCACGGGGCCTCTGTCTCCCACGCTCTTCTCCGTGCACCGAGTGCTCAGCTGAGGCCGCCCATGGGGCCAAAACGCCCATAACCACAACGGGTCCCATCACAGGCTCAGCCTCAACCGCGCTCCTCAGTGCCTGGGGACAGCGTCGGCACTCAGGCAGATGAGACGGGCAATGCCCCACGGCAGGGCCATCAGGGTGGAGCTCACTGAGCCTGCATCCCGCCCCGCCCCACCTCTGCCCAACTGGGTGCCCCAATGATACTCAATCAGCACTGGGGACCCAGGGCTCATTCCCCAGGACATACGCCCCCTCTGTTCCAGCTGAGTCTCTGCCCCCCAGAGATGGCCAAACACTCCAGCTTCTCGGACTGAGCCTCCCTTCCTACTAACACTACCTGTTTCTGGTCCTCAAGCGGCGAGGATCTTGCTTCCAGGAGCCCCTGGACCAGAATGATCGCCCAAGTCTGTTCAGGTCACGCCAGCCTAACATGGTCCCTTTAACAGCAGCCCATCACAGAATCAAGCCCCAGTGCAGCCGGACACACTGGACCCATCCCACCCGGAGCTCCGGTGCCCCGACCCACTCCACGGCTCCCAGCATCTGCTCCCCGGACGCCTCTGCGGCCTGTCGGTCCCCACGGCTCACTGCCGGCCTCTGTGTGCCCTCGCCGGGGTATCTTCCTGTTCTCCACAGGTCGGTCACTCACCGCCATATTCCCGGTGCTGCCCCAACGGTGCCCACACTGCTGACCTCAGGGGTCCTCAACCAGGGACCATACTGCCCCCAGCGGCCCTGGGCAAAGCCTGAAGACAGATTTGCTTGCTAAGCTGGGGGATGCTACTGGCATCGGTGGGAGAGGCCAGAGATGCTCTACGGTGCACAGGACAGGGCTCCCCTCTGCCACCTAAAACAGACTTATCCAGCCCCAAAGGTATCAGAGCCGAGGTTGCACAAGCCAGGTCCTCAAGCTTCAGACGAGGCAGGAAGTTAACCCTAACCCTAACACAGAGGCCCTGGTTAAACATGTCTGTTTCTAGATTAAATATGCCACAGCCCGGGGAAGACGCCTACCTCCTTCCTTGTGTCACGTGCCCTGGGACCCGTGCACATACACGCCTGCCTGTCCCACGGAGATGCCCAGGGGGACCTGAGGGTGGGGGCAGAACCCGCTCCCGGGGGACAAAGCCAAGCCAAGCACTGCAGGTATTGGACACACCTGCCCGCCAGATGGGACCCTGGGTGAGGACAGCACTCGGAGCACCCGCCCCCGATGGCCCCCAGACACAACGGCATCACGGAGGGGCTGCACACCTGTCTCCTGCCGTGAGGGCCGCCAGCTTCGCCTCGCCGGCCTGGGGTTCCGACGGGTCATCCAGGATCCTCTGCATCTGCTGTTCGATCTCGCGGGGCTTCAACAGCCGGCCGTCGTGGTAGAGCCAGACCTTGAAGTAACGGCCTTTGTGGAACACGACGATGTGCCTGCTGTCCCCGAGGTGCTGGAGGGTGTCTGGGGAGGCAGTGGGGGGAGACAGAACCCAGAGGCACCCGGTTAGGGGAGGGGAGAAAACCACCCGTGACGACACCAATTCCTCTCCCCGCATCACGCCGCTCAGCTCACGAGTCCACTTCCCAAAGGTCTGCAGAGCACTCTGTAGAGCACCCGAATCGAAAGCTTTGGGATCAGACAGGCCCGAGTGCTAAGCTCTGCTCGGCCGCTCACTGGACGTGTCACCTGGAGCAAAGGACGCAACCCTCGCTAAGCCTGAGCCCTGGCGGGCCTGGGATGGACCCAGGCAGTGCCATTGTCTCTCCCTTACATTCCTGAGGGTGTCCTGGCTGGGACAGATGTGGCTCCCCTATGCTGGGCATTGGGAAAGGAGGGGGGTCATGTGTCCCAGGTCAGGCTGCTGGAAGTGAGCTGCTGAAC